TTAAACCATATTATAGAAAAAGAATCGTCAACATATAATAAGAACGAAAATTCAAAATATCATGAAGATAATGTGAAGATTATCCATGTAAAAAGAAGTGAAATTATTACGCCAGTATTTAATGATGATAGGTATTTCAATAAGGGTGATGCACCAAATCATCCGTCTAGTTATTCCATTGGGGACTGCAGAGCAATACAAAATATCGAGACAAAATGTGCAGGAGGTAAATTTTCAACCGATAATTCTAAAAAAAAATTCTCTCTGTGATAATACAGATCTTTATGTTCAGTTACAATACCAAAAAAAAGTGAAACAAATTTTTCGTGTTCTCATGATACAGATATTATGGTAGAAAAAACGGTTTTGATCGAAAGTTGGAATAAATCAAATAATAAGATGAGAAACCGGTCTAACCCTAGCCTAAACATTCACCAAAAAAAATTACAAAATATGAAAAAGAATAAGACCTTACCAATTTTAAAAAATGGTTCTTTACGTTCTCCTTCTGGAGAATTGAAAAGTTGTATGGTTAGGAACTTTGGACAAGTTATACTGTGTAACACGTGTGCATTCGATTCTGTTGCATCAATATTAATGGTAGCATACTGCGACAGCGTTAACTACAACACTGCGGTTGGTGGTAAAGAAAACGTTTTCTTTAAGTTCATTGCTGGAATAGTCAAAAATGGAATTTCTGCCAAAACATACTCGACCCGAGCGGAAATACTGGTATAACTATAATATATGCATAATAAAGCAATGGTACTAATTATAAATAAAGTACCTACATTATATAAAGAGAATCGAATCCGAGCAATTGATAATATGATTGTTGTTACGTTTTCCAAAAAATAATTTTTACAAATGTTTGTTAATTTTTGCAAAAAACTTTAAATTAAAACGTCTTTTAAAAACTGTGGTGAGACGAATATTATACTACGATTCTATTTATTTCTATAATCAGAAGAATAATATATGAGAATTTTGGTTTTATAATATGTACATTTTATACAGTTAATGTAAATAAATGTGATTATAATGTGTGACATTGTAATATCAAACAAGTTATAATTTTTGGTATAATATTCTTTTGTATCAATTCTACTGTGACTTCGAAAATCACATTGTAGATTCTATGATATCATATGTTGTATATTATGATATAATAATCTATGATATACATCAACTAAATAAATTTATATTTTTGTTAACAGATGAAGTATTTACAACCTAATATAGAATATTTAGAATATGATACAAAATTGGCATCATGTGAAACAACGGTGGCAAATGTTCTTAAAGAATTGCTAATACAATTACCGACAATAACGGATAATATCAAATGTTCAATTCCCACGTGTACGAAGAATAATCCTTTGCTTTCATCGTACATAACAATACTTGTAATAAATGGAAATTTAAATTTGTTGGAAGAAAATATTAAAGCAAGATTAATGGTTGAAACTTCCAAGTGTCAAAATATAAATCGAAAAAAAGTAAATTGCAAAGGAATAAAAACAATTGAACCAAGACTTTCAGCAATTCATTTATTTATTGAATTACTCAATTGGGAAGGTATTTTACTGTCACCGAAACATTTTCATATCAAATAATTATTTATAAAAATATTATTAAATGTAATTTCAGAGAATCCAACCGACCAAAATATCGATTCTAAAGTAGCCCAACAGGTTGTAATAAGCTTAGAAAATGTGCCTCAAAACGTAAAAGTGAATAATGTCCAGTACCATTTAAGAGGAATATGTTCTCACGCGTATGGGTTAAACGAACAAATAAACAATATAGGACATTACCGTGCCTACTGCAAAAGAAATGGTGGAAACTGGGAATTGTACGACGACCAACAAACTAAGTCCGTCCCAATAAATTCCAAAACTGAAGTTCCATGTGAATTATTAATATATTCAATATAAATAAATTGAATAATCTATAAAATACATAGTGTGCCAGAAAAGTTCCCGAACTTTCTCTCCAATGCCTGTACAAGTGAGGCAATCTATCAAAGAAAACTGGTACCATATAGCTACATTTATCAGTAGTATGTGCACAAAGTTTTATAATTTTCCGTTCAGTATTTAACGAGTTAAAACGTGTTTGTTGAATGCGTATTGATTTCGCAGCTGCAAATCGCGAAATGGAAGAAAAATTCGGTGCTTCCAATACGACCCTCTAAACGAAATGTCAGTCGTCCGCATTGCTTAGTCCTGGCGAATTTTCCCTTCATTTCGTGATTTTTAGTTGCGACATCAATACGTGTTACTCGAATTCGTCTTAAATCGTTAAATACTGAAAGGATAATAAAATTTTGTACACATACTACTGATAAATGTAGCTACATGGTACCAGTTTTTTTTTTTGATAGATTGCTTCACTTATACAGGCACTGTAGAGAAAATTCGGGAACTTTTCCGACACACTGTGTATTTTTATGTTTACAAATAAATAAATGATTTATAATTCAAATGTATTAAATGAAACATATAACTGTTCTTTTTAATTTTTTTGTCGTTTTATTTTATATAAACAATTTATGGAATTATCATTTCCATTTAATGGACAAATTTATCATTATTTTTTAAAAATTGTCCATATATTTCAATTTTTAACTGTCTTTTAAATTTATTTAGAAAACATCATAGCCACGAAAATATTATAGTTCACAATTCTAATACTTAATAGTCAACCTATTTACCGCATGGTTTTAAGTGACTAAATGTTTCTTGAATTTTTCCAAACAAAAGAATTTAATCTCGCAAAAAACTATCTTCGAAAAAAATCCTAATTTTTAATAATATCGTTGATTTTTATGAATACTTTATGAATTATTTTTTGGCATTAAAATTATTTAAAAAAAAAAAAAAATGGATAGGAAACAATTTATAATCGATATATTTAATAATGTTATTTTGTTATTGTTACAAATTACATCAATTTTAAATTTACTACTGTCATAAAATTGTCTATATATTACTTCTTATTTAATAAACAATAAATTAGAGTTTTGGAATTTAATAATTTTGAATATATATCAGAATTTCAACATGAAGCTATAATAATTATGTTTATCATTAATAAATAAATAAATACCTTACACTTTTTTTTTTTAGTTATTACTAGAGGTCGGAATAATATTCTTTTGCATATTTTTTTTGAGTCTATGCAGTCAAATTTCGGTTTGAAATCTATAAAAATTATGAATCATATAATTCAATGGCAAAAGTTTTTTTTGCATATTTGTAAATATTTTAAGATGAAAGAATATTTAGTATAATAAAGAATTTTAGAGAATATATCGAATAATCTTATTGAATTTGTATATTTTTTGTTGTAGGGACAAAAATGATTTATAATATTAAAAGTGTTTAGTCTGTTATTATTGAGATAATTATAAATGGAACAATGATTACGAAGCTCAATAAGCTGCCTAGGCTAAAAATGAATTGGAAAAATAATTTAAAAGTAGCTCCAAACGTTCGTTAATGACATACATGTATCGAGTTCATAGATGTACAAAGTTCATATTGTATAACATAATATTATGATGTACGAGTGTAGTAGTGTAGTTTACTTAGTTGAATATATACGGGATTAGGTAATATCATAATTTATGAATACCTAGTTAAAACATCAATGTAATTTGGAATACGTTTTTAGATAATTTGTTATAATACATAAGATAAATAATGAGCTTAATTTTCCAAATACGAGGTAGTTTCAAAATAATAATGATTACCTTTTTATTATTTACCAAAATCCTAGTCATTAATATTAAACATTTGATACCCCTATATTTACTAAGTCTACGTATCAGAATCTGTTATTTAATTCGTAATTATTGCGGAACATTACGTTTTTAATATTCATATTTACGTTAACAAAAACAATTTTCGAAATATATCATTACGCAATTAAAAAAAAATCATATTGCATATAATATTATAATATATTGTTTTTAAACCGAAAGCAATAAAGTAATGAAAGAAGCACGTATTCCATAGCTGGGAAACGGCTTAAGACCGTATATTGGTTATTGGATAATATACTATAGTTACAGTGTAAATAATGACTGTTTTACAAGCACAGCATATAATATCTTTGCCAGCGTGAATTCTACAGTTTTCATTAATATTTGCATATTATTCGAATTTCGCAATATATCCTGGAAAAGACTTAGGCGAGATATAATACAATATTTTTTGTTTTAATTAAGATCGTTGTTGTCGTTTTGCTAACAAATATGTGTATATACATATTTATATGTCACAAAAACAATGTAACTGTTCTATTAAAGTAAAATACTACAAAATACTACTACATACATGTAATAATTTAGTGGCTGGTAGCGGAAAAATGTTGGATCCATCGGGTGTGTCGTTGTGCCGAGCTGCTAGAAAATCGTTGGTGCCTTACGCTATCTTGAAGAATTCCGGACTTACGCTTATATAGTAGTAATAAGACAAGAAAAACTATTTCATAATAACTTCTTTTTAATATTACAAATAACTTAATATCATACGGTAGAGTTCGTAGGGTATGAATAAAATTGTATAAAATTTTCAACCGTATTCTCGTCATCTTCGTGCACGTATAACGTTATGTATTACTTATGCATTACAGGCTGTCAGAAGTATCAGTCTGTTATACAAATTTAAAACCCTTAAAGGTCCTGGGTTTTTTTCTTCAGATAAGCCTCTAAAAATGTCATCTCATAAAATGATAAAAATGCGCTTATAAGTAGTGCAAAATATTATAATTTTTTAATAGGGCCTTATTTAAAATACACAATCAATTATGTTAACTACATAATATATTATAATACTACAGTATAAATAATATAAATATTACCTTTTTTTTTATTTTTGTTTAATTTGCTTTTATTAAATATTACCTTATAATACCTATACAACTGAATATATTTTTTAATGATATACAAATTTGATACAATTGATTTTTTTTTATAATAGTAATTTTTTAGTTCACCTCAGACCACCAATTATTAAAACTATAACAAATTAATCATAAAAATATAAATTACAATGATCATTATGATTATTTATAAATCTTTAAAATGGGTTTTCCTCGACACAAATTCAACCGAAGGCCCCGAACGCGTTCGAGCCTTAGCGACCATGGGCAAATTAACAAGGTTTTTCAATGTTTTTCAACTCAACTTAATATTACATCGGCATCTGAAACAAAATATGTTTCGTATGATTTGAAAAAGCTTGAAACGGTGTTTGTTGAAAATGAAAAGAAAAAATACTACATTTCGAATATTATCAAAATAAGAAATGAAAAACTTACAAATCAATTCCGGTCATACACTGAAAATATGGAAATAGTGAGATACAACTTTTTTCGGTAAACGTCATAAACCTTTTTCAACAAATCGCTGTAATAAAATATTATATTTGCTATAAAAATTGCAGAGATGATTTTTATTTTAAAATTATTTTTACAACGCACTATGTTGTTCACGATTTATGGTATTATCCTGGGTGCGACTCGTTTGCGCACATTTACCTTTTTTACGACACGATTGCGCACAAAATCACAACTCGTTTGCGCACACATATTTTAGGTTTAAATAATAAAGGTACAACTCATTTGAGCATATTTCCTTTCTTTTGCTTAATTTTAATTAATTAATAGACTGTATAAAAAAATAATATATATGCATATTGTATATAAAAAAAAATAATATATAAATTAAGATTTAACTATTTTGCATTTCTAAGTATTTATTATATAATTTAACATCGAGCGACCAGATATTGGCGAGAATAAGATATATATACAACAATATAATACAGATAAAAGTAATAATAACGTCAATGATTATACACGTAAACAATATTGTCAATTATTAATTTAATATTACAAAAATTAAAATATTTTAAAATACATGCATTGTAGGTTTAATAAGTAATAATAGTAGTCTATTAGTTATAAAATTATACTTATTTAGAATGGTGGCATTTAAGTTCGATTTTCTTTATATAAGTTAAACTATTAATAATATTATTTTTATATTCATTCCAAATGTTTTCCAATTGTATCTCCTTATTAATTATCTCTTTTCTTTTGAAATTTATGATTTTATTGTTTATTGAATTAATTTTTAAATCAGTGTCACTTTGAATTTCAATAATGACGTCGATTACTTGATGTATGTGCGGATGAGCATAGTAAAATTGACTGTTATATTGTTTGTGATAACTCTCTGCACCATTAGTAGTCTTAGGATTATTAGTAGGTTTACAAGCCCATAATGTTGGAGGAAAATTGCTGTCCGATGCAATGTAATTTTCTAAAATATAATCGGAAAATATAGAAATATTACTAGACGTAGTACTTGGTGCTATCGACATAAGATCACAAAATCCATCAGAAACTTCGTCAGGAGGTAAATAACTTAATCCAAAAAAACATTTCATCCATTTGCCAACTTCTGAGCCGTTGTTTAAGTACTCGCTCGATAATAATTTATGTTGTTGAGTATGTCTAAACCAATTTTGCCCTAAATGAAAGTTACAACACGTGATTTTGCAGTAAGGGAAAATTTGCAATACTGCATTATGCGCAGATTTTTCAAAGTCGACATGAAAATTGCTTAAATTTATTATATTACCAGTAATTTGAATACATATATTTTGTAATGTTTTCCACATATTGATGTAAGTATCAGTATGTTTGTTACTTAAAAAACAAAACGCCACAGGAACATAAAAATTGTTTTTAAATACGTGAATAGTATAAAGTTGAACAAAATATTTCGTAGCGAATGAAAATGTCCCATCCCCAAAAACGTGTTCTGCACTTTGTAGCAATTCCAAATTTTGTTTACATGTAAATATAAATATATTTTCATCATCACTAACGAAAGAAAATTTATTACCTTTGTAAGTAAGATTATGCTGATCATCAATTAATTGTTTTTTAGCATCTTCTAAAGATCTCGGTATGTTTTGAAAGGATTTTTTTCGTTTTTCATACATGGATCTTCGAATTAATTTCATATCGCTATATTGAAGATGTTCAGAGTTATCATTGTTTTTCAATTCCCGGCGTATTAGTTTATTTGGTTTAATATGTAAATCCTCTTCAGTTCTACGTTTCAATTTGCTTCTTACTACTTCTCGATGAATTGTTCGGTCGTCGTACTCGTCATGGGTATGCGTGTTGGTCATTTTTAAAATTTTATATGATTCATTAACTAACCTAACTACAGCACTTACGGAACATTTTTTATTTGTACACCTAAAATGTTTATCGCCAGATTTTAAAGTTCGGAATTCTCTAAATTTATAACTTTCTATGTTTAAACATTTTTTTCCTCGACGCGTTTCAAAAACATCATAAATTTCGATATCCATAGTCAATACAGTTAGTAGTTATAGTACAGCTTTCTGGCGAACGACTGTATTACGACTGTATTAAGTATTACGCTTTCCTAATACACGACGATTATTTTAAATCATTATATATTGATATTGATATGCTGGTAATTTGTGCTGATAATTTGTACCGATAATTCAATTACTTTAGGTAAGTCCAAATTTAAAAATATAAAATACATGTTACTTAGTGATTATGTTGTGCGCAAACGAGTCGTCCGTTTACAGGTAAACGACTGATTTCGTTGTGCGCAAACGAGTCATCGATATCCAAGTAAAAAATTTAAATTGTGCGCAAACGAGTTGCACCGATTATCCTATACCTACCACTAAAGGGTATACATCGAGTATCGAATTTTAATTGTCAAATGAAAAACAACCGATATAATATTATATTTTGAAAAAAAAACTTCCTTGAGAGTAATGAAAACGTTATAAGCAAATAATATAAAAAATAAATATATTATTTTTATACTATGTTGTTAAATTTTCCCAAGTGAATCGAAAAAATATTATGTATATAGGAAAGAAATTTCCTAATAGTTTATGAAAAAAAATGTTCTCTTCAAAGTTTTTATTTTTTTTTAAAAGATATTTACAATCTATAAACACAAAATAATATAATGAGTAAATAAGTTAACATAGAGTATTAGGTATGGCAACGTAAGGGAAGGAAGCGTTCATCGATACTACTTCCAATTGTGATAAGTGATAGGAAACTAGTGTGGATAATATTGGTATGTTGAATTCATGGTATAAAATGTGACTGCTTAAGACTAGAGAGAAATAGAAAGGATACGAAAAGTTAATAATTGAAATTATTGAAAAACTTCAAAACGGTCAGGTTTGAATTTGTTGAGGTTCCCGAAAGTAGGATTCCACATTTCATTACCGGAGTATTTTACAATTATTTTTAAATTAGTATTTCATTACTAGTATTTATTAAAATTTTGGATCGAAGTAGTTTCCTGAGATTAAATGATATTCTTTTTGATTTAATATGTTTTACCCAGGTTAATCCTTTGTTGAGGAAAAGATCTAAGTATTTAGTTTTAAACTTAATTGATATGTAAAATTTAAAGTCACCGATCCATATTATTTTCGGATACGGAGGATATAGCGACACTTATTATATAATTACTATAGTAATATAACTAATATAACTATATTAATAATAACTATAGTTAGCCAAATCTTAAAACGAAAAAATTTATATACCTAATTTAAATTTTTAATACGTACGATTAAGTTAAAATAGTATACGAATTATCAGTCTAATGATATAACTAAAATAATAACAATCGGTAAATGTAACTTAGATCCCGATAACAGTATACATAAGTTGCGGCCAATGTTTCTCAGGTACATACATAAATTGCGGCCCTTGTTTCTAGATATTTTATAAAAAATATTCTATGATGCTTATATAGCATTACGGCACCAGAAACAAAAAAAAATATTAAAAAAGAAGAATATATTAAAAAAAAATTAGAAGAATTAGAAACTAAAAAAGTAACTCAAATTAAATTAGTGAGACAACTGTCATTTAAATTTTTACCTGCTTCAATGTAGACTTATAATAAATAATTAATAAATTAAGTTTTAATTTAAAAATGATTTAAATAATCCAATAATTTTAACTACACTAATATTATAACAATATTATTGGCAGTACAAAGTCTGATAAAATGGAGGAGAAAATATGGCTTGTTAGTTTGTAACATACATTATAATATAAAAAATACATGGAACGCAATTTTCGTATTCAAAAATTAAAAAAAAATACACGAGACGCAATTAACAATGTACAATGGACCGCGAAGTACAGCCACCCTTAACAATAACATCAAAGGTGGGTAACTTAATGAAAATAATTAACTCGAGTTATGTTGAGTTAAGAGAACACAAGATCGATTATAATATTATTAACAGTAAACAATTCATAAATTTAACTCGATAAGTTTAAAGTTAATAAGAAAAAAAATATTAACTCAACTCAGTTTAAAAAAAGTTAATCATACTTTTTTTATTAGTATATAGAACACATAAAAAGTGAATGCATTTTTTAAAAAGATCTAATTTCCTAAATTATAATAAATAATGTGATTAAATTTGTTATCATAATATACAGCAGTGGCGCCGAAGTGTTTGAAAAATATTATGATACTGTACATCAAGGGGTCACTCATTACCATATTTATTTATCTTTATAGTTAAAATTCTTTATAATATTTCCACGGTAATACCCCAAAACCCCAAGATAGACCCCCAACCTTCAAAATATAATATAAAATCTAATGTACAGTGCATGCGACCATTTTACTTTACATGATTGAATGAATGAAAAATTTCAATTTTGTTTAACTTGATAGATCATTTTTAAATCAACTGTGAAAAGTTAAGTTATTTCAACTGCCAATTAAACTAGTTAAGTCAAAAAGATTATTAGGAAATAATCTAACTAGTTTAGTTAAAAAATTAAAAAATAAATTAACTTTTTAACTAGTTAATGCCCACCCTTGAATAACATAATAGTAATTTAGAAGATGTTTTATTTTGTATGAAAATTTAATATTTTAAATAACATTTTTTTTCGCTGCTTCAGTAAACTTTTTTGGTTCACTGGAAAGAGCAACTTTTCTAGTACATTATATTGCATTTTCAAGTCTAAAGTATACATATTAAAATGTTTATTCATTTTTAACTACCAAAAATAGGCAGATTTCGTGATTTTTATCAAAATTTCAAATTTATATGCTTATTTTTTAAAAATTGTGACTGCAGATTTTTGAAATTTTTTTTTACACGAGTAAGAACAATGTATGAGAAGCATTGTATTAATAATTCAAAATTGACGTTCTACTAAAAAAAAAAAAAAAATAGGATAGTGGCGAAATGAAGGGAGCGAAATTAACGGCGGCGAATAGTCCGTCGGCGAACAGTCCGTCGGCGAAATGATCGCTGCGAAACAATTTCGGTGAATAGTCCGGCAGCGAAATGAATTAAATCCCTTATATATTCTGCAGAGTCACTTCCTTGTTGGTTTTTCCTTGAATTTTTTTTCATCAATTACCTAGCTGTTTTTACAACAACAACATTTTTTTTTTTTTTTTTAAACCAAAAACTATTGATTACAACAGGATAAGCCGTTTAGTCAATTATCATCTTATTATGAATCATTATTATCATTTGCCTAAAAGAAAATTGAAATAAAAAATAAATAATAAAATTAAAAAAATTAAATAAAACTGAACGGGTCAATAGAATTTAATAGACGCTAAACTCAATGGCATGCGTTTTTGCACATCTCGCTTGTGTAAGCACAACATAAATCATTAGTTTTACCTAGTAAACGACATATTAAACGCGTGGGTATATGTTTTCCTAAGATCACGCAGTCGTTTCCGCACTCACACGTAAAGGTCGATTTTACTACAAAATCACGCCCCGTTTTCTTGATTATAAGTATATTTTCATTCCAATATACCGATCGAATATGATTAGAATTTTAAAATAAATATTTTTTTTGTGTTTTGTTTATGTAATTTAGTAAAACCATTTCTTTATGATAAAAAAAATAATGTATATAGATATAATATACACTATTATAACTAATTGATTACATTATTACAAATACCATTTTAACTAATCACGAATAATAAATAAATCAAATTCATTGAAAATGTTTGAATTTTGCTATTTTTGAAAATGCCTTTGTCATCCTACTCACAATACGAAAGAAATTATTTAATCAAACAATGGATTAAAATAGGTTTCATATTATGCTTTTAGAAATACGAATCGCTGTTTTTAATGGAGTCCAATTTCAAAATGAAAGAACACGTTCCATCCAATTATTCCTTTAATTGTGGATTTCATCAAAGTGGTTACTGTTCACTTTGATCAGACATTATTCAGACTATATATGTGTTTGAACTTACCATACATGAAACTGAGATTCTGTTTTTGTCTCTTATTTCTCTATTTACTATAAAATATACTAAATCCTTTGCTATTATGAATTTACTGATATCCAGTGGCGATGAAACCATTCAATTCAGGTAGGGTACGTGTTGATAAAACGATAAGACCTGACCCACCGAACCACGATTGGATTTAGAGCATAATAATAATATTTGCATTACATGAACAATATTATTAGATAAATAAGACACGTGGATTAATCTCATGAGCAGTGTGCGCAAACTAGTTTGTTTATAATTCACAATAACTAATGACTCGCTGACTCTACCACTGGAGACTGAACCAACTCACCACCACTGAAATATTATCAGATAGAGCATTTTCCCTACCTGAATACACAGGATATTAATCAAATCCAAAGCTGTGAAAACTAATTTTTATGAGTTTAAAAAATGTTTACGGATACATTATCTTGTCTCAATAATTATTAATTAATATATATTGTTAAAATGTTTCCATACAAATATCAATGCAATGTACTTGATGTTATATTTATTATATTATTTTACTTATTTCGTGTTTTTGGGATACATATTAAATATTTATAGTTATATAATTTAGTTTCAGTTCTTATACTATAAGTCTAGACTCATAATCTTAAATAATAAAAAAATCAATAAAACAACGAAAAAATATGTTTAATGCTCGTTAGAATAAAATGGTTGGAAAAAAAGTGTACTACAAAAGTAAATAAATTTAAAAACTTTTAATGAAAATATTTTCATTTCTTGATTGTTAAATAAACAAAACTCAATTTTTAATAAAAAATGAAAATAAAGTATTTCATTTATCAATAATCCTAACTTAGTTAACATCAAAAAGAGATCATCGATTTACCTAAGAGTCTTACTATAATATATTAGGTATAACCTAATACCTACTATAAGAGCAGTAGGTTATACTCTAAATGCCAGTAATAAATATAAAAATCAACATATTGTTACTTTTAGGGAACGATTTCACTTTCTGGCTACTGCTTATCATGAGAAATACAGCCAGAGCCTTACTCAGACCGGGTTTCTCGGTTCATTTGTCCGGGGCCCGACCCTAAACCTATTTTTGAGGGGCTCGGGCTTATAAAAAAACAACTTTTAAATCATGACTGACCCGGACCTACAAAAAAATTTAAATTTTAACGGACCCTTATCGGAGCTTAGGTATCGACTAATGGGCACTACCACTTTATTGAATTTTTATTCATATATTAATACTGTATATCCGTAAATTATTGCAATGATAAATGATAATTGCAAATCATTCAATATATCAAAAACATTCGAAACAACTCAATTATTTGAAAACCATTTATAGTGACCGAATACTTATATTCTACTTTAATCTTATCAAGGAATGTATTTTATGTCATTTGGATGAAGTAATTGCAGATATAAACAAACGATTTGAATCACCTGAAAACAGTTATTGATATCTTCTCAATTCTTTGGGAGTTTAAATATATGATAGAAGGAGAAATTAAATTAAAATCTAGAAATCTGGTTTTGAAATATAATAATGATTTACAAGAAGATTTAGTAGATGAGTTACAAAGTCTTAATATATTTTATGCTACTAACTTTAGAAATAAACAATTAAACCCCTTAGAATTGTTGAATCACTTGCAAAAAACTAATCTCGCAAACATGTTCCCTAATTTATGTATTGCATTACGAATCTTTATTCCTGCAACTGTTGCGAGTGTGGAACGATCTTTCTCGACATTGAAGAAAGTGAAGAATGTATTACGATCAACAATGATAGAACAGATTCTCAAATTTAGTTGGTTTAGCGGTGGAGGCTCGACTGGCAAAGACGATTAACATGGATGGGGCCATTGATGATTTCGCAGTGAGAAGTGCAAGAAGAAAAACTCTAGGACTATTTTAAATTTAGGGTTATTAATTATATAAGTTATGGTTATTAATATTACGTTTAATATTATTATGTCATTTTGTATATTATCATTTATGTAATTGAGTATGTATATATTGAATATGTAATTTAAATTTTCTTTGAAAAAGTTTCCACATTGTTTAGATATAAATAAAAGATATTAAAATAGCATGGTTGCAATAATATTTGAAGTTAAAATAATTTAATTATTAGTTTTATACATAATTAGACAAATTTTCCCTACGAAAATCAGGAAAACCCCTTTAAAAAATAGGGGGCCCTGAAGGTTTAGTTTTCCGGGGCCCACCAAAGCTGAGTACGGCCCTGAATACAGCCAATACAATATTTTATGATAAGCCGTACCTATTGTAAAACTTTTACCTTGAATATTATATTGATTTAATGAAATAAAACTAATGAAACATCACTAAACATAGTAAGGTAATTGAATGATAAATAATTGGTACATTTCCAATAAATATTGTAGTTTGTAGTTTAGATATTGTTGTTTTCTGATAATTAAACCTTAATTTTTTTTTTCGTAAATAATTTTTTTAATTTATCTGGTATGCAATAATATAGATATCCAAATATTATAATTTAACGGAACACGTCGATTGAACAAACAACACATATATCGTATACGATCGTAGATAAAATCAATACTTGATTATGTCACTGTCACATACTTTAATGTGAAAACTGATAACGAAAGTTTAGATAAATATTAATTTAGAATTCTTCGTAATCGAAGACTTGATTGATTGTGAAATAAACTAATACTGTGTAAATGATGCATGCATGATAAAACGAAGAAACTTTGTAATATCTTATAGTTCTATAAACAAAATAAACATTCATGAGTAATGCTTTTAAAAGAAACTTGATAGTTATAACGTCAAATGCTATATAACACATACTCGTAGGCAGACTTGGGTAAAATACTTTTTAAAAGTATTTAGAATAAATACTCGAATACTTACAAAAAATACTATTCCGAATATTGTATTCGGAATACTACCCAAGTCTGCTCGTAGGTATTATAATATTATAATAATGAATCTCAAAATCATGTTTTATTCAAACTCATTCTATTTTTTAAATGATTTTCTATTTTATTTTTCAACAAATTTAATTGTTTTTTTTTTTTTTTAATGATTATAGTTTTCAAAACAATTTAATTTGAACTTAATATTTTTTTCGGCACATTTACTCAGGCTAAAGTTTTAAAAATCATCTTTGTTTTTTAATTTTTTTTTTTTTTTATTTGATCTGTGATCTTAGTGTTGCACTAATGCAAAAATTAATAACGTATGTACGACATAGCAAATCCGTGTTCAGCCGAACCTGTTTAATATTGTTGGCTTTGATATTATATTATAGTAAACTGAACTTTAATATAAAAAAAGGGAAATTCGATAATATGTGTTTAAACGTTGGTTTTTCACGATATTTTTATTTCCAAAGGTGTTTTGAGTTTTTTTTTTTTTTATTTAAATTAATTATATTCTCATAACTCTCATGCAAAATTAAAATATAGTAAAAAAAAAAAAACGACATACAATTACAGATAATGTTCTACACTATTAATTTGATAGTTGATCGGACAGTTCAAACATAATAATATAAAATTGTTACTTCAGGACGCTAATAACTACATTGTTGTACGTTTGTATAACGGGACATGCGAGTGAGGCGTCCCCTTAAATCTTAACAATACTAATATATGAACTACGTACCACCTAGCAGTGGCGTATTTAGGAATTTTTCTATGGGGGGGATGAAATATATAATAATACATCCTAACACCCATTAATTCGTACGTAATATACATTTTTAAAATCCCCTAACTTGTTACCTATTGAGGTTAGTGCGGATCAAGGCAAAATAAGAATTAATCTTTATAATTACCTCATCATTTTCCAAACAAATTTTTTTATTTGTACTAAAATAAGAAAATAAAGTTTTTTTTTTGTTTTTGAATATTACTCATATTGTCTTAAAACTTCACAGTTACAACTTACAAGACGCAAAAAATAAAGTCGAACAATAGTCAATTCGGCAGTAAGTCAGTACACGGAATGGCGCGGCGTCGCTATCCGTCAACGTCCAATGACCGTACATATCTACTTTTAACGAATCACGATATCATAAGATAAAATATATATATATATATAGCTATACATTAGCAATAAATCTACTAGTAACAAATTTTCTAAAAATAAACCCGCCCGGCCGCCCTATGGTTAATCCACGATCTTCATGGTCATTTTGTTTTGTTTACCGATTGTTTATCGGGTTTATTATAAACACTCTTGCATGAAAAATAATTCGCAGCAACGTACAAAATACAGTACACCATAATATAGGTATATGCCTGATAGTCGTACATGCCGCCAACGATAAACGATTAGTGGCGATTAGTATATCAGACTATCAAAGCGGTACAATTACCACGACAAGAATATTTAGAAAACAGAAAACATACATGCTTGAAAGTAATATCATATTAAGAATATTAAAGAAAATGAGACAACTTATAGCTACCTAGGAAAAAAAAAAAGGTCAAGGGGGGGGATCTATCCCCCATATCCCCCCCCCCCGTAAATACGCCACTGCCACCTAGTACTGACAAGATAATAACCACATAAAGGATGTATTTTTCCGAAAATGTAGAGTTAATGACCCGTGGAAAACAAATTTTCACTGACATTTTAAAAAGTTTGGAAAACATTCCGGTCCAGGGTAAAAAAAGAAAAAAAAAAGATGTTCGATCGACTGTAAAAAAATTCCCGTTAGAACTTCGTCTCGTCGTTAACGTTGATGTCCTGCAGGGAACCGAGGGAATGTTGGTAGGTCTAAAAAGAACGTAATTAAAATGTTGTTTTCGTGCGTAAAATGGACATGGGCTGACGTGCGAAGGATGCGGCGGAAATCGTTTAGGTTTCATTGATTCGTCAACAGGGCTGCGAGTGGAAAATGAACGCACGATGAAACGAGGACAGAAATGTGTTTGGGAATGATGTCGTTTCGACGTTCGATTGTGTGGTTGCGCAGCTGAGTGATAAACGCGGAGATAAAACATACCTCTTGATGATAGTGAAACATTTCTCTGCTGATAGCGGACGTGATATCAATGAAAAATCAAAACATTAGTAAAAAAAAAAAAATAAATAAAAAAAAAGTAAACAAATAACAAAACCAATGGATTTGAAAATGTATGTTACATCTTGGAAGTGTGATGTCCGTTAACTACAAATATGGATTACAAGAAAGATGCGATCTACACGTATTGGGTGCAGTACACGACAAAGGTATTTAGCTGTTTAATTTATTCGCACAATTGGCATCGACAGGTTCAAATATTTTGTAGTATTTACTAAATTGGGTTAGTGGGCAATGTTTAAATCTCCATTTGTGTTTCGTTCGTGTTCGTTAGTACTATTTCCGGACACACTGAGCGGCAGAGCAATTTAAAAGTAAACCATCTACTGTAATGGATATCTAACAGCTGTTCCTATATAAATGGTCAAATGTATTTTGTACATACATAAGTACTTATAAAAGTCCAAGTTTAAAATATAAGTTAAATCGTACTAGAAAATTAATATGATTGTTAACATTTATAAAATTGAGGTTCTTTTTAGTCTGGTTAAAACAATTCATCAGAAATTGATTTATGATACTTTTCAATTTGGTATTTTGTCTAAAAAACATTATTTATTATTCATTGAAAAGATATTGATTAGAGATTAGTTCATTGTTTTGTTACTTTGAGCTTAAACTTTTGTAAAATTTGATTTTAATCGATTGCGTTTTTTAATTTTGTTTTTGTTAAATAATAAGTAACCATTAATATTTGTTGTAGTTTAAATTTTTCTACATTGATATGGTAAACCTTTTTAAATTAGAAATAAATTTACATCAATGTACTTTAACTTAAATGTGTTCTAAGACAAATATTTATTTTATATTTTTTAGAATGAAGAAGCTTCTTTTAGACAATTTATATGTGGCTTTGTTGCAATATGGGAACCAAAATTAAACTTAAAATGGGTTAACACAGACATTTGTTTACCAACAACTATCGATCCTGAAGCGGGTCCTTCATTATCAAGACTACCTGATGAGTTATTACCTGCAATTGCTAAGTTCTTATACATAGCTAAAGATGATTCAGAAAAAGTAATTAATAATTACAATAATATTGTCCAATTATTATTTTTAATTGCATTTTTCACTTAATAGAATGGATTGTCTCACCAAAACATTGTTGAAACTGAATATTTAATTCGGTGTTTAATTGTGATTAGTAGAAATTTTTATAACATTCCATTGCTAACATCCTGTGATTATATTAAAGAAAGCACTTCTGTGGCACTACATTTCATACATAAAGTAAGTGAATCATACTATACTAGTAAGTATAAAATCTAATATGTACATATACATATCATCAATATAAAAATGTTATTAATAATTTGTGTACTTATTATATTTATATTTATTTAATATTTTTAGCTTACATCTACTGACCATCAATATGACGAAGATACTAAGTCTTCATTATTATCTTTTTGTTATTCACTCTGTCATTTTTTGGAATGTCTATATGACCCTTATCAAATATGGCGATGTTTCGACTCTTCTCAAATGAAAGATTTAGACATGTCTAAACTTCAATATTCACCTTCTATGCTCCATGTAGAAGTTGTACCTTTTATTTTTGGTAAATTTCCTTGTTATAGAGCTTATTTTTTTATTTATTTTTATTTTATTTTTTATTTTTTTGTTTTTTTCATTAATAATTTTGTATTTTTTAGATTGTTTTGAAACAAATTTAGCAGTTAATTATCCTTTACTAGCTTCTGAACTATTAAATGTATTTGGAGCGATTGTTTGTGGGTCACAGGTAATTTTTTTTAATTGTTTGTATTCTGGGTAATATATATATATATATTTAGCTTGTGTTTTTAATACTTGATTTATGTGAATGAACATGTATAGATTTATTTTTTTATATTTTATATTTATATTTATTGTTTACCATTATTGGTAAAAATTTAGTTACTTCTTCTATGGAACATAGAAAATGGAGTTGTTTGTGATTATAATGCATTTAACAATATATAGAAATAACATTTTGTGTATTAAAACTGCTTATAATTGATTAATTACCTTATTTTTTTTCTAATTTAATTAACTAAACCATTTAATTTTTATCTTATTTAATAGCTTTAATTATATTTTTCTTAAAATATTTAACTAAACAATTAACATATTAAAATGTATTTTTATAAATGTAGATATATGTATTTTTTAAATTGTGTAACTGCATTGAATTTTCTTTTAAAATATTTATGTATTAATGAATACAATTATTTATAATTTCAATATACTCAACTATTTTAGTTTATTTCTAAGTAAAATATACTAAAATATATATCAGTATTTAGAAAAGTATTATACGTTGTGTAGAACTTAATTTTCTTCAAAGACTGTAATAACCAATTTTAAATATACACTTACTTGTGCTTATGTTAAGCTTATAATGTTACACATTGTACAAATAATGAATTTACATTTTTAATATAATATATTATGTACAATATAATGCATTGAGTAGGTAATATTTCAGATTTAAGTTAAAACCATATTATTACTTTTTCAGAAATTAAATATAATATTTAAAAAAATATGTAATTGTAAACTTATAAAAAAGGTCACTTTATTAATTAAAAATAAAACTACATTATTTTTGCACAGTAAAATTGAAAATTCAACATTCAGCTTATAATAACTGTTCAACCTCTATGTTCTATTAACCTTCACACAACACACTCTATTTAAAACATTCTCCATTTCCAAGAGCCATGATCCTGTGTAACAAATTTGCTACAGATTAGAGATAGATAAAATTGTTTGAACATCGATTTTTAAAATATTGATGTGTTCAATGTATCGGTAAAAAACTATCGAAGTTTAAAAACATTGAAAAAAATTTTTTCCCTCTAGAGCTGCCATCTGTTGCGTACCTTATTATCTGTACAGTGTACTATTTTCTTGATTAAATAATAAATTTAAGAGTTAAAATACTATTGCTCAACTTATATTTTTTAAAAACATATTAAATACTTATAATCAGGGCTCGTAAGTTCATGTATTTGCATGTTTTCTTTGCTACATCGAAAAATATGCTAATTGAGATAAAACTACGTTTCATAACAATAGTAATAAAAATCTAAAATTTAATGGAGCATGTTTTTGCATGTTTTGTGTGCATCGACATGTTTGGCATATAGTTGATTTTTTTTGAGTGATAAAAGCATATATTATTATAAGCATATTATTTTATTTAAATTCAATGAAATCGTTTTTAAGTCAAAAAAAAATTAGAACAATAAATGTTTGAATTCATGCTTATTTATTTTTCCTAGCTTGTTTATGAAATGTTAATATTTTATTAATATTTTTATTTTTTAATGACATTATATTTTATAAATTAAAAGCAGTACCACAAAAACAATGCTATTGCGCACCACTACCACTCTCCTCCTATTGATGTGTCCATTTCAATTTATTTATTTTTGTCGCAACGTGTATTCAATAATTATAATTTTAATAAAATTTAACCGAATAAAAAATATAAATGGATAATTCTTATTATTTTAAAAAATCCTTAAACGTTTTTTTTCATGCATAGTTAAGGGTTTTTAATGCGTATTTGATCAAATTTTAGTGCATTAATGTATGCTTATTTAGGCGTTTTTTAGTATATGAACTTATTAGCCCTAATTATAATTGTACAGTGTATACTGTTTAACGATTTTTGTATACTGTATTCTAAAATAATACAAACAAAAAAAAATTCGAATTTTTCGAACATAAACATCGATGTTTAATCGATTAATCAAAAACAAATCACCGATGTTAAAACATCGATATATCCACCTAAAACATTGTTGTTTTTTGCCCATCTCTACTATAGATGTCGATTTTTTTTTTTCTTCACAAAGCATAATTCATACAATACATTTAAATAATAATATAAAATATTATTTTGATTAATCTTATGTGTTTAATTTTTTTTTGTTTTTAATGTTCATTATAACATAATCTATTTACCTATACTATTGGGCAATTGTCCATTTTATTTTATTTGAATAAATTATTATTATTATAAATAGCTTAATGGAATCTACATTTTAAATTGGTTTATTGAAGTATACATTTCATTCAGTATAAATTGCTTATATATTTTCTAGTTTTATGTAATATCACTTAAAATTTTTCAATTTAATTCAGTGTTTAACTATAAACTATATTGAAATATAAAATATAATTTGTTCATATTTTTCATAATTTTAGCATTAAATGAAATCTTATTAAGTAGGAGTTTGAAAGAAGAAAATGCCCATAGTTATACAACCTATAGTCATTTATCTGTTATAAAAATTACTATTTATATGCATGTATGTATACTTTCTGCATTTGATTGTATATAAACATAAATGCAAAATAAAATGATTTATAATTTTATTTGTTTTTATTTATATACATTTAAGGTTTGACTAGAAAAAAGCTGATTTATGTAATAGTAATAATTTTATTTTGCTTTTGTGTTTATATAATTTTTGGTTTGAACTATTATGGTTGAATTAAATTATTTTTAACTACAATTTAGTCAACCCTTTAAACATATTTGTTCATTTTATATTTCAGCATAATGCACTTCGTGGAGTTAGTCCTCCAACTTGTACTCTAATTATGAAAGTAATATCTGATAAAAATATACCCTTGGTGGTAAAAAAAACAGCTTTACGATGCTTTGTAACAGTTACTCAAGTTATGATTCGATTTCCTCCCCATCAAGTAATATTAATTTTTTAATTAATCAATTATAATTAACTGCCAATGTATATTTACATTTGGTTTTTTTTCATATAAAATAGTGTCAGTTGGATGTATGCACTCAAATGGAATGTTTAAGAGATACACTAAAAGAATGCACATCATTTAAAATAAATGTTCCATTGGTGTTGAGTGTAATTAAAGCTATTGGACAATCAATAGAATTATCAGGAACTAATGCTGAAAAAATAAGAGAATATGTTGTTAAATGTAAATTCTTGGAAATTATTTTAAACATACTTAATAAATTAGAGGTGATATTATTATAAAATATATTTTTTATACTTTTGTGTTTTATTAATTTTTGATTGCAATTTTTACTTTTAAAGGATGATATAGAAATAGATGATGTAGTAAAATGTGTTGAAACCGTTTCTTTGATTCTCCGTATGTCAAATGAAGCAAAAACTCAGATGTTAAGTATAAATGGCTATGAAAAAATTTTTGAATTTGTAGGAAAACAAAAAAATAAAAGTCAACCATTATTAAAAGCCATAATTTCTATTGCTACAGAAAATACAGATAAAACATTAGATCAAAATTTAGAGGTAAAATATAATGTAAAATTAATAATATTTACATATTAATTTATTGTTTAATTTAACTTAAAATAGAATGCTCAAATGATTGTGCCTCTGATCGAATGGTTGTCTAGTCTTGATGAAATAGACCAGGTTTGGTTAGCAAGTGTGATATTTAATTTGTGCACAACAAATTTACAAAGGTAAATTAAATATAAATCTATAAATTAAACTTTTAAATAAATACATTATGTTTGGGATAGGTTAAATTAAGTATATAACTAAATTATTAGAGTATATAACTCTGATTTTAATTTTATTATTTTTTAGTAAATGCCAATCTTCAGCATATAAAGTTATAGATTCTGTATGTAAATGTTTGGAAAACAGTAACCAATTATTCCAAAAAACTGTCCATCAGCTATTGAAACTTATTGAAAATTTAGCTTCTCATTCAATTTCAACATCTGAACTTAAAAAAATATTTCTACTCTTAAGAGATAAAGATGAACCTGTTAGTTGTTTTTTTTTTTTTTTTTTAAATAATTTGTACACTCACATTACCACATATTTTTTTTTTTAGTTTCCATACATTACTCAAGTACTTGGGACATTATCAGAAGTTGCCTATAGTTCATATGATTTTAGTTGTAAAGTATTTTTTGATATTCAAAAAGATGAAGGTAAATTATTATATTTTATTGTTGATTTAGTTTAATTTAAATTAAAATATTCTTTACTTTATTGCCAACAAATTTTTATTTAAAATGATATAATATTCTTAAATTAGAAATAAAAGGTTTTTTAATTAAAAAAGTCTTAATTTTTAATTTTAAAATTTATATTTATATATATAATATGTTCAAATTATCTATTTGATTATCTATTTTATTAACTATTTTTAATAGAATTATTATATGAGTGAAACACATTTAATATATCATTAATAAAAATTTTTTTTTTTTCATAAATAGAAGGTCTTATAATTGATGAATTAAAAAAATGGCCAGGACCCATGAATGGATTAACTTTTCACTGTTGGTTGCGTTTGGATATTGTTAGTTTTCATAATTGTTCAAACACATTTGGTTTAGCTTCTTACAGACGACAGTTATTACAGTATGATCATATTAATATTTAATGTTTTTACCATAATTGCTGCTTTTTTAAAGTAATATTTTAAGAAATGTCATGTTTTTTTTAGTTTGCTAACCAATTCAAACACAGGATTAGAAATTTTTATTGGATCAGATTGGACACTAGTTGTTGGAATGCACACAAAAAAAGAATTCTTTACTGTTACTGCTCGAGATTTTAGATTTGTAGAAAATCGTTGGTATTGCATTGATGTTTGCTATAATCCACCAAAGTAAGGATACAATATTTAGTTTTATTTATTTTCTAAATATATGTGTTTTTTTCATTCTAGAAGGCCTTTTGGACATAACCAAGTATCAATTTATATTGATGGTGTGCAAAACATTAGTGCACCAGCAAAGTTTACGCCATTAAATGATGTAATATACTTTTTGATTTAATAAAATTATACTTTGCTATTATTATTAAGTTTAATATGTTCTTTTTAACATTATATTCATTTATATATAGCAATTTCAAAAATGTTCTATTGGGACTTTTCTGGCTCATGTACCAAAATCAATTGATATTCAGCCTCAAATGGATCGAGGAATCCTACCATCTTTTATAACTCAAGTAAAATGCTATATAGTTGTATAATATAGAATATATTAATTTAAAAAATTAATTTATATAATTAACAGATTAACCTCTATGTGTTCCATATTTGGTATATGGTTCATTTGCCATTCGAGCTAATCCAAAAGTAGTGAACATACCTTATTTTCTATGAACCTAAAACTTTATGAAAAAGTTTGATATTTTTATTTTAGTTCATTATGTGATTTTAAAATGTGATTTTGTATCAAAATTAATCATTTTCAATTGTGTACTAAGTATGGTGTATATAAATTTTCAATAATTAATGATAATTTTGTTAGTTATGTAATATAATTTAATAATAACTGTATATCATACTATTTCTTACCACTCATTGACACTCAATGCCTTTTCTCAACAACCATATTTTACAATTAATTAAACAAAGTCATTATCAGTAATGAAACTAGTGCAGTTTCATTATTGATAATAATTTTTTTATTATTAATTGTAAAAATGATTGTTGGAATAAAAGGCAAAACTTGTATACAAAAAATGTGAAATATGTGTACGATTTACCGTCTGCAATGCTTTTCATCAAACAATTATATCAAAGTAAAACGGTCTTTAGTAATATTTCTTTAATAATTACAAAAAATTGATAATATTAATAAAAATAAATACATTATTTAAAACGATTATTGTTTTTTAAAAAATTTTTTACCTAAAAATTTGAGTTTATAAGATATCCAAAGGCTGATTTAAAATGTATTTGCCTGGTGGGCTATGAATTATTTTATTGTATTTAAATTTTATATACATGTACCATAGTATGTACACAACACTTTTTGACAAAAACTCCAGTGTACCAATAATGTACACAAAAACTTATTGGTTAAACAATAAGTATACTAAAAATGGTACATGTAGCTCTTCAGGCAATGTACTGAAAAATTATGTAATGGTTAACTTGTTAATTTAATAACTGAAATCATATTTTGTTATTTTATAAATATTATTTTTTAGGTCCCAAATTACTTACTTATGAGAGGATCGGGTGCTTTAGATCCATATGTCAAAGACTTTCCGCCTGGTATGCAAGATTCATTGTATGGTCGCTCTATGTGCCTAAAAGGTCAATTAGGTTCAATTTGTTTGTTTCCTGAATACTTTTCATCTCAACAAATAAAGTCTATTTATGATTTGGGTAATAATAATTATAAAATACAATTGTTTATTCTCAATATTTCTAACTTATATAACCATTAATTTAGGTCCAAATTATTCTTCACTTAGTACAATGGATGATTCAACATGTGATATATTAGGATTATTTAATAGATCAGTAATTTATTTTAGTCCTACAGCAGCTTCTAGTCGTGTTACAGCTCTAGATTTAAGTCAAAAAAATAAAACCAATGCTCGTCTTACAGCCGCTGTTTACAAATGTTCACCTATACAAGTACTTTTTAGAATAAAATAACTAATTTATTTTATTAATAAAAATTGTTTATGTTTAGGATGTAATTAATATGATTGGAGGTCTATATGTTTTGTTTCCAATCTTAGAAAGTCAAGTTTTGAATGAAAATGAACATTTAGGTTTATTATCATTGGACCAGACAAACACAGAATTGTCTGTAGATTTAGAAGATGTCTCATCTCTAAGATCATATTCTCTAGGTATGTATAATTTTATTATAAAAAATATTAATAAAACTCAGTGTAAAAGCTTGGGTACTAGCAAGTTGGATAAAAAATTTACTTGTGATATGTATAAATACCTAAAATATATTATTAAAATATAAATTTTGAAGTATAATATATTTATGTAGGTTTACTTAATATAAATTTTTAATAAATTAAAAAAGTAAAAATACAATGCCTACATTAAACACATGACATTCTGGTATAAACAAATGAGTATTGTTTTTTTTTAAATGATAAGTTTGAGATATGTTTTATTTTGAGCCCCTAAATTGTCTGTATTCATAAACAATTTCAATACTATACTGATACATTATACAAATTTAGACAAGTGAGTTATTGTCATAAAATGTATTTTTAAACAGTTTTAATACATAAGATAATAAGTAATTATATTACTCAATCATACTTCAACATTAAAATTTGTTCATATAAATTTAAAATATTCATAATAATACTTGAGTTTAAAATGTAATGTTATATTTTATATTTTATTGTATATTATTATTATATTTTAATTTAAATTATTATAATTTTTGTAGATATTGTTATGTTAACTTCTATAGTGCCTTCAACTCATTCAATATTTATTTTAATTATATGTACTTTTAAAATGTTTTCTTTACTAAATTAAATATTTTATTTTCAGATGAAAGACTTGAATTACATCCAATTGGCTTATTATTGATTTTAATAAAAAATCTTATGAAAGGAAATGTAGTTGGTCAAGAACAACTTTTAAGAAAAAATGGCATACCGATTTTAGGAGAATTACTGACCAAAGTAAATAATATTTGTTTGAAGTGTTAATGTAAATTTAATTTAATTTTATGTATAGGTTCCTTCTGATAAGATGGATTTGCAGATGTTAGAAGCATTACAGTTATTCATGGAATCTCTACAAGACATTTCTAACATTCAATTATTGAGGGCATTTTATCAGCACATACTCTTTAATTTTTCTATTTGGTGTAGATGTTCTTTCAATGTGCAAATCGGTAATATTTTTGGCATAGTTATTACTATTATATATTTATATAATTTTAATAATATATCTTTTAGGTGTAGTTAAGATATTATATGTATTAATAAAAAATGATCGTAAATCATTTCGAAAACGATTTGGTGTTCAATACTTTTTGGATACAATAAGAACATATTACACCACATGTGATGTATTATCAGTCAATCATACTACAGTACTTAGAGCATCATTGTTGGATGTCATCCGATTTTATATTTTAAAAGAAGTTACATTACCTGACGTTGATACTATTATACGGTATCTCATAACATGTAGATCTGAAACTATGGTAATTATTTTTTTTTTTATTATAAATGAAAAACAAGAATTTTCTTTTTAACAAAATAAACTTCATGCTTAAATAAACTTAAACTATATAACAAATTTTATATTTACTTTATTTTAGATAATTGAATTATTAGACTTGTTGATAAAACATTTAGAAACTGAATCATGTAAAGATCAATTATTCTTATTGATGTATGAACCTCAAACTGCTGATATTCTATACTGCATTTTAATTGAAAAATCCATTAGTATGTTAGCAAAACAAAAAGTCTTAAAGGTATTTTATTGTTTTGTTTTTATAATATAAAACTTAATATAAAATAAATATAATTTCTATTTTTAGATCTTGTCAGTATTACTTAGAACTAAGTATGTATATGAACGACAGAAGAGTAATTTACGTTTACAAAACTCTAACTATGGATTATATCCAGGATTTATATCACTACTTCCAGATTTTCAGAATTTATCCATGGAAGTAACATTAATGATGTTTGATCAAGTTTTACTATCAGGTATTATTTATTTATATACAAAAAATATAATATAATATAAAAAATGTTGTACAATAAACTATGGGCATGATTAAATTATTATCCTATTTAGAATCGGTATGTACATACCCAGCAATTTTGTCTATTCTTCATCGATTAGCCTATGAAGATATTGAGATCAAATTAGAAGTTGCTCGAAAATTATTAGCAATGATTTACATGAACCCAAATGCAGCTAAAACATTCGCTAAACAACCTGGTTGGCAAGACTGTGTAACACGCCTGTTAGTACACCGATTAGCTGAAGGAAAAACATCCCATAACAAAGATTTAATGAGTTTTGATGACCAAGATGTTCAAAAAAATAATAAAAAAATATTAAGATGGAGATCTTACCCTAACATTTTAAAAGCTAAGCATTCATCTTTGAAAAGATGGAATTCTATGTTTGAGTTTGAAGCAAACTTTTCTGATAATATCATTAACCAAAACTCAATATCGACACTAAAAAATTTTACTGACGCTGCTAATTTTATAGAAAATGAAATAAAAGGTTGGTATACAAAAAAAATAACCAAGGTATGTAAATATATCATGTTTTTTTTTAGGTGTAGCAGGATCCGTATCAGCAGTTGTTGTTGATAATCTTCAATATGCTTCAGAAAACTTAAGTTCAGCAGTGAATACAGTTGGTTTAGTTGTTAGTGACAATATTCAAATGGCATCTGATAATTTAGTACTGGCAATGAATAGTGTTAGTGGAAATATTCACTCAGCCACTAGTAATTTATCATTGGCTGTTACATCTGCATATTCAATATTTAAACAAAAAACTACTGAAATACAAGTAAGTTTAATGAATTAATTTGATGAATGTATATATTTTTCACATATTAATTTTGAAGGAAATTGGAGAAAGTGCCAAAGAACGAATAAAAAAATATGCTATGTACTCACCTCAATCTGGAAGAAATATCATTGATGAAGACAAAGCGCAATTAATGACAAAACAATTGTTGGTTGAGTTAGGTCTTGATGTAGATACTTACAGTATTAGTAATAGGTATGTTTGAGAAACATATTTTATTTATGCAATATTTTTTGAAGATCTACAAAAATTCAGGAATAAAATGCATTATTTATTATTTTATTTCACATATTTTATTTTTTATTTTATTTATGTTTATATATAAATGCTATTTACTGATTGTTGTAATTGTTATATATTTTTTTAATAAAAGACAATTTTTAATATTTTGTCTATTTAATGCATGTTTTTATAATAACATATTTATGTTTCAGATCCATATCTAGTAGTCTTGAAGATATATCATCAATTAAATGTTCAGTTGCTCCTGATAATCGCTCTATAAGCTCAGGAATTGCTATGTCTGATAATACATCATTAGCTTGTGAAGACGCCGAAAGCAGTGATCATAATGGCTTTGACAATATCAAGTAAATAATTTTTTATTTTTAATATTGGTTATTTTATATAAATTATCTCAAGTAAAATATATTACTTTAAAGTGGCTTAAATATTTTTAATTATTCCCTTATTAAACAGAAAAAATTACAATTTATTAAATGTTTCTACCTTTTAAAATAATATTATTAATTTTTATTTTTTTTTTTTATTTTTTTAATTATAATAATATATAATAAACTACTTTGTAAATCTTAAAAATTATTTAGTTATTAAATTTAGTTGTACCTATATATCTTAATTTAGTTTTAAGTTAAATATATCAGGTAAAATAATATTTAATATGATTTTTTTTATACTAATAATTAAAGAACTAAGCATTTTATTCAAATCATACTTTTTATTTTATAGTCCATGGCAAGAATATGCTAATACTAAAACTGAAAATAAAGAAAAAGATTTATGTTCGTTGGTAGAAAATATATTATTTGTTGTTATGTGGCGAGGAGTCAATATTCACAATAAAAATTGTTGGAAGGTAAATTATTTTATGTTTAATTTCTGTAATAATAAAAATATTATTGTTATGTATTCACCAATTTTAGGAACGCGGTCAAGTTATGGCATGCATAAATATGTTAAGTTTAAACAATATGTTATATTGTTCTCATTTAGAACTTAAGCTACATATTTTAGAAAAGGCTGTTGAAGCAGTATTAAGCGATCTTCATGATTGTGGTTCAACTGTTGAATGTGATCATGCTAAAATGGAAAATATTGGTCAGCTTATAGGATTGGTATATGATTTAGTTGTGTTGGATCCAAGTCCAAATTTTGATAAAAAATGTTCAGTAAAATTGCTTGATGGATGTATTAAATTAATTGAACAGTTATCTATTTTTGGAGATAATCAAGAACTTAATAATAAAGATATTGCCATGAAAACCTATGGTAAGATTTAAATTTTATTAGTTTTAACGATTTTAATATTTGAATATGACCATCATTCTTTTTTTTCATGCCAAATGTGCTTTATCGTTATTTCTCGTGTTTATTCACTATTTCATAACTGTTAGATGATAAATTCATTTAATAAAATATATATTTATTATATAAAAACATATCTGTATTACTCTCAATTAAATTTGTCTGATTTGGTTTCATCAGTTTCTGATGAAGCATTTAGACATGTACTATACTATTTTAAAATGTATGTTTACAATTCTTTATAATTAATATTAGCATATGGCATTAGCATAATTTATTTTAGTATTTTTACTCCACTTATTTTAAATAAAAATCCTTTAATTATTATTGGTATGGGTACCAAAAAAAAAAATAAATAAATAAATAAAAATAATATGAGTTTTTATTCAAGACAAGTCAGGTGTTATTATAATGCAGACATAATTAAGAGGACATCATATCCGCATGTGTTGTCTCCGTCTGACATACCGATAACATAGCAAATTTGTGTTCAATGATTCAAATGTAGTGATGTTAGCGTTAATATTAGAGTAAACCAACCTATAATCAAACTTTAAAGGAAGAACATTATCTGTGTTTTGTTGGTTGGGTTTTTCCGATATTTAAATTATTTAGCGAGTTACGATGGTTTTTTAATTGTTATATTTTACATACTCATAATACGCTTAAAAATTAAAATATTGGAAAAAAATCTACCAACAAAATACAAACAATGTTCTTCCCTTTATGTTTGATTATAGGCCTGTTTACTCTAATATTAACTCTAACATCTATACATTTGAATTACTGAACGCAAATTTACTATGTTGTACGTAGTCAAACGGTGACAACACATGTGGGTATGACATCCTCTTAAATGTACAATATTTTGTTGCTATTCTATTTTTCTATGGGATTATGAGTAACATTTCTCCATATGTATTTATAAAAATGGAAAACCGTTCAATTAAAGAACATGTATTATTTAATCAGCTTTTGATAAATATATTTTATGAAAGATTCTCATTATTTTAAAAAAAATTAAAGAACCCCCCCCCCCCAACTGTCTTTTGTAAAATGGTACATTCATTGATTATTAAAAAAATAAATGTATTAGTTTCAACCCTATTATATAAGAATAATTAAATATTGATAACATTATATGATGATATGATTAAATAATTGAAAATTTGAAAAATGTTTTGTTACTGAATAGTATGTTTTTATAAAGGGCTTTTGTTGAGCTGCTCTTCAAGTCCTAATATGGAAATTTGTGCTATGGCAACAGTCAAGTTACACACAATACTACAAACAAGTAATACAACTGTAATAGAAGTTGAATGTTACTTATTACGTTCAGCGAATGGCATTTTACAAAAAGCTCTTAAAGGTAAATAAAAATTAATATTTTTTTGTCAATAAGATTGGTAGTAATAATTTTAACATATAAGAATTTTGAAATATGATTTGAATTAGTTTTACTTTGAGAAATTACTTTCCAACATTTTAACTAAAAATTTTTTTAGAATTTATAGGGAAAAAATGATAAAAGTGAGAAATTTGTTCTAAAGTAGTCCTAATAAAAATTCAAATTAGTTTGAGAATTATTTTTGAATTAATAGATATTTTGTTATGTATGTTAGAAATAGTACATTTTTAAATCCTTATACTGGGTGTATGATAGATAGAGTCAGTAAATAAACATTTCTTATGCCAATAAGAATAATATTTATAATAAAATTAAAACATTTTGAAATTTTTTTTAGATGAGAACATGGAGCGTTATTCTTTTATTTTACCATTAATTAAAACACTTATTACTAAATTATCTGAACCACTTAATATCTCTAATTCTGAACTTCCAAATTTGACAGAAGTTTTGTACAGTGGTAATTTTTATGACAGATTTTTACCATATTGCTCCACTGAAGAATGGACTGTGTTTATCGAAACTAAGGTAAGTGTTAATTTTAAAAATTATTTTTACTACTATTTATATTGGGACAGTAAATAGTACACAGTGCCTAAAACTTAAAATGTTATTGCATAGATATATCCAGCATATTTTTAGAGGCAGGTATAAGTATGTATTAATTTGAAACCTAAATAATTTGCATTCTAAAAATTCCCCTATCCTTGCATTTACTTAAGTTTTGTGATAGGTTGTTGAACCATCATTTTGAAAAAGAACCGTTTGTATTACATGTTTTCTTAAGAATCTTCAGAAATAAAAGTAAAAAAAAATTTTTAATTTTTAAAATTTGCTTATTGACCTTAATAACTATAATATTTAAGAAAGTTGTACATATAATTTAATATAATTATTGATTTTACTAATTTAAATTAAATAATTTACACAATAGAAACATATACATTGTTCATTAAGATAATTTTATCTTAGATGTTAGTGTATTATAATATTTTTTAAATATGAGATTGTTGTATTGTTTTTGAATCAAATATTTTTAATAGCAATAAGTAAGGTTTGATTCACCCTGTTTCAACAAGATTTTGATATTGTTGTATCAGTAACATAAATATTGTTTATAGTACTTTTATTTTTTACAATTAAATTTAAATAAAATGGTTGGTCAAATTTAATACAAATCAAATGTGACACTTACATACTAGTATTAAGTAAAAAAAACACACATTTTTATATTTACATTTAAAAAGTGTGTTTTTATCACATTTTTTTTATTATATTACACCAGTGCTTTTTAATCATCTAGGATCTAGGTGATTACATTTTAATGTATTGATATGTGGATTAAATTAAATTTTAGTTTAACATAAAAAAAGAAATTTACATATTACATATAAAATACTATGTATGGTTAAATATAATATAATTACACAAATATTTCTTAATATTAAATTCATAAATTTATAATTTAAGTGACTTACCATTAATATTGGCAAACAATTGTTTTGGTATTTGATAACATTTATGATTTTATAGTATAATACATAATGATATCACACTATCTTCTCAAATAGACAGTACTCGAGCCAAGATGATAATATATTTTTAACATTAGTAAAGAAGTTTGTTAATTTAAAAATAAAAATAAAACAGTATTATATAATTGAATAACAATGCGATTTTATTATCTAATACTTTCAGTGATTTTCCATTGATTGTCAGAATATGTATGAGCATTTACATTTTGGTTTGAATTAGATTCATAATTTTTATGATTAATTGGAAGATTGTCATCTAATGAACTAAGGCTATCATTGACTTGAGAAGGAGATTCTTCATAGTTGAAACTAAAAATCTTTTTGGGTGCTTGAAAACCAGTGTCTGGCTTTTGTGTACTCTTAGTTATGTACTTCAAGTACGCATTTAGTTTGTCATTTACAACTACTTTTTTTTCCTTTAACTTATCATCCGAATTAGATGCTGATGCAGTATCAGTGTTTTCTGAAGATTCTTTATAACGTCTTTGTAATGTGCTAGATTGTGTTGTTTGTGTATCTGGACTTTGAGTGTTGTATTGGGATTGGACCATATGAAACGATTCTTTAGGTGATTTATTTACATCTCTACTATTTGCAGGTTCTCCATATGAATCTACCAATGTAAATTGAGAATTTTCTTCTGGGTATGAAACAGAATTTGATATACTGCTGTAAGAACCTTGGATATCTCCACTGTTTCCTTTGGGAGAACCATAAGTAATTGATGGTACTCTTGATAGTTCCTTATTTAAAGATTGTAAACCATATGTAACTGAAGGTATTGGTGCACTAAATTGAGTGTGAGAATTAAACAGACTTTCTATATTAAATGGGTCTATATCATCATTTTGAGAATTAGATCCAAATGAACTATATGAGCCGGATGTTGGGGCGTTATATGATGTTGAAGGTGCACTGTATGATCCAGAAGGTGAGCTAGGTGTACCATATGAATTGGAAGGTGCACCAGAAGGCGCTCCATACGAATTTGATGGTGGACTAGATGGCGCACCATATGAATTTGATGGTGGACTTGGAGGTGCACCATACGAATTTGAAGGTGCACTAGATGGTGCACCATACGAATTTGA